CTGCGTACCACCACAGACATATAAAGCCTGCTAAACTTAGGAAAAGGTATATGGGGAAAGGATTGCTTGCGACCTATAGTCTCTGGATTAGGAACTCCAAGCTCCTCCTGGGATCCATTGCTCCTTCTGAGCTAGACTGAGCACTCTCTTTGTGTAGCCCTTTCATACTATTACAGTCTCCGTGGTACATGCCCACCAGAAGGAAACTCCAAGTTTATTTAGTCAGTGGCTTCCTGTTGCCTTAGAATGTAAGGTAGGCTGACTCTTGGTACCAACCAGCAAGGCCTGAGGGACCTGGCCTTGCTGGCTCCTCCACCGTGCTCTGGGGACACTCTGCATTTGCTCACCTAGCTCTGGGCACAACCTATAGGTACCTGAGACCCTTTCAGGAGGCCGTTAACCTATTTTCATAACAATTGTCCTTTATTCTCTCAAAAGGGTACAATGGAATATTCCAGAGACTATATGCTGTGTGATGACATCATCTATCTGAATTACTAGAATGTATGCTTATATTTAAATTTTTTTCAGTTTTACTGTCTAATATAATAAATATCAACACATATAAGCCACATAAACCAAAACTTTTGGGGATCCTCACTAACAGTTGGAAAAGTGCTGTCCTGAAATCCACTGTCCTCTGTTCCCCCGCCATTCTCGATTCTTAAAACTGATCCCTGTTACCCCTCAAAGGCCATCCCAGCCAGCCCTGTACTGGTCCTTGCCAGCATGAATTATAACTTCCAAATGTTCTCCCCAACGCCCTCCTGCAACGGGGCTGAGAGAGGATGGAGCAGGGGGCACCATGTTTGCTGGGTCATGACCGTTGTTCTGGTTCCCTAGTGCCGCTCTGACAAGAATATACCACAAATGGGATGGCCATAACAAACAGAAGTTTATTCTTAAATTTGGAGGCTTTAAGTCCAAGTTCAAAGTGCCAGGCTCTAGGGGTTGGGTGAAAGCCCCTCAACCTTGGGGTCCAGCTCTGCCTTCTACTCCTGGCCCACTGGAGCTAGAGGCATTTATTCACTCAGACAGCTGCTGGCTGCTGAGGCTGAGAAACCCCAAGGTTGACAAGTAAAAAGGCACAGTCCTGAGGTTACCAATCCACACGGCAGGCCATTAACTTAAGTCCATTGTAAGTCCCAAGGTCGGCAGAGCATAGCAGGCTGCTGAGCAACGACACGGCTACATGCAGGGTCCAAGCATGCCATAGGCTAGAGACCATTTTCAAAGCTTCTCCTTATATACAGGAAGCAGTCTACATCCCAAAGGCAGCTACTCAGCTGCTTGTGGTAGATCCCACCATGGACTTGATTGCCAGTCTCATCACAGGGAATAACTACCACCAGCTGCCCAGCCATTCAACCAGGCCCAGCCAAGTTGACGCACAACATAACCACCACAACCGTGTTCTCTGAGAGCCAGGCTGGGGTATGTGCCCAATAAGAAGCATGTAACTGCTGATGCCCACAGTGGCCAAGAGCTATGTGTCAGCCAGGCAATGCCAGGCTTTCCTGCTCCTCTAGGCTGCCTGGCACCAATAGCCTATCCTGACAAATGTTACAGTTCTTGGCCTATTGGTTGACCTGTCTGTAATAACTTGATGGCACTTGATGTTTATAATTATACCCAGCTCAAGTACCTCCTGGGATTGGGGGCAATAAGGGCTTGAAAAGGATAAAGCCCTAAACAATGGCCTGGGCTTTTAGAAGAAAGGGTATGTCTGAATTTGGGTTGGTTGTTATTGTGCCACCCCTTCCCCAGACCTGGATCTAAGAATACCCAGTTGATGTGGATTGTCAGTAACAGTAACAATAAAAGCTGATACAGGGAGTAAGTGCTTAGAATGTACCAGTCAGTGTCAGGTACTGAGTGTGCCTGTTGTTTCTAATGCCAGTCAGTCTGTTCTGACTCTTAGCAACTCTGTGTACAACAGAACAAAACATTGGCTGGTCCTGCACCATCTTCACAGTGGTTACTCTGTTTGAGCCAATTGTTAACAGCCACTCTGTCAGTCAGTCTCATAGAGGATCTTCCTCTCTTTCAGACCCTCTACTTTACCAGGCATGATGCCTTTCTCCAAGGACAGGTCCCTCCTGATAGCATGCCCAAAGTACGTGAGATGAAGTCTCATCATCTTCGTTTCTAAGGAGCATTCTTGCAGTGCTTCATCCAAGACAGATGTGTTCAATCTTCATTCTTCTGGCAGTCCATGATGTGTTCAGTATTTTTCACCAACACTGTAATTCAAATATATCAATTCTTCCTCAGTCTTCGTTATCCATTGTTCAGCTTTCACATACATATGAGGTGATTGAAAATACTTAGCTTGGGTCAGGTGCACTTTGAAGACTCATAAATGTCACAGGGACTCCAGTGTGAAGATAAGCACTGTATTAGTTTCCTAGGGCTGATGTACCAAATTGCCATAAATGGGGTGGCTTAAAACAACAGGAATTTATTCTCCATTTCTGGAGGCTTTCAGGGACAATCTGTTCTATACGCCTTTCCTAGCTTCTGGTGACTGCCAGCAGTCCTTGGTGTTCTTCCATACATCTATGTCTTGTCCTAGGATGACAATCCCCTCTGCCACCTCATAGGTTGGGAAGGCTAAATAATATACACAAGTCCCTTAAAACAGTGCTTGACTCAGAACTCTCATAATCATGGGGCATTTTAATTTGCTTCCAGTTTGGACCACAATTTTCTTCAATGTCTTACAATTTTCCTGGAGTTTCTAATTGCCTTTTGTCCTTGTTTCTATGTGCCTTCACTTGGTCTTGAAATCTAACCAGCCTCTTGATCATATTCTCTGGTGCATGAGATTCACACTTTCTCCTTGGAGCTACCCCACTTTGAGCCTGGGCTTCTGCTCCATTTACCCTCAGAATTGTTGCCTTACTATTGTCTTGAGACCTCCTTTCACTCTTCACTGACTCTCATGGTTTCTTGCTTTTTTCTCATTTTGACTGAAGTTATATGAGAGAAAGACTTTGGAGGCCATTCCCTTGTCTTCTAGCATCCAGGGTTACTCAAAGAAAAATGTAGTGTCTGTCCCAGCCTTATTCCTTCATGGGTTGTGATTTGTTTTCACCCCTCTCTCTATTAAGTTTTGGGATCTTTACTTTTTATGTAGTGTTCTACCATTGTGGAAATTATCACACACAGATTTTTGCTCACTTACCCAACACTGTCAACCCTTTCTATATGAGTCTCTCTCCCCCATCCCTCCCTCCTTCCCTCCTTTCCTTCCTTTCTTTCTTTGTACTCTGACAGATAACCTTCTCTTATTTCTTTAATAATTTCTTATCCTTCATTTTTTCTATTCTCTTGCTTGACGCCTCTTGTCAGTTTAGATGTTGATCCTCCTGTATTAATTCCCTGTGCTTCTTAAGTTTTATCACCTACCTAATTGTGAATCTTCTCTACACACTTTCCAAAAAACCATGAAGCAATAAGAACAAATACAACCACATACCACACACAGCTTCAGCATTACTAGGAGACAGAGAACACTGCGGCATTCAAATATTTTCTAGAACTGTTTTTTGTTCTACTTTACTGTGCTATTTCCTTGAGTATATTTCAAGTTGGACAACTATGTTTTCAATTTCTAGTCACTATTCTTTGTTCTCTGCACTTAACTTTTTATGATCTGTTTGCCTTGTACATAATATTTTTTTCTTACATTCCTCTGAGAATACTAGTTAGAAATTTTATGTTAATATTTTCTTCTGTTTTCTGGCCTGCCTCTTTTTCCTCTAGAGTCAGTTGTTTAGTTAATCTTGACCTTTCTGTTTGGTGCTGCTAGTCTTCCTTGGCTGGCCAGACATCCTTGGATGTCTGTTTACATATTTGAGGTTCATGGACTTATTTTGGGGGGTTGGTGTACGTGTTCTTCTCTGGGGATAAGTGGGCCTGTCTCAAGGACTGGCAGTCAGCTTTAGGGCCTATGTGGGAGAGGGAGACAATAGTGTTGAAAGGTGTCTGTGATTGTCCTGCAATGCCAGAAGGCCATATGGAGGGGGACAGAACCCCCACTCATTCTCCCTGAGTGATTGGTGTCATTTTTGTGGTTCTGAGTTAACCTTGGTTACTTCTGCCTTATCTTTCACTCAGCAGTGTGATGGGTAAAGGGATGGGATCCTGACTGGTTGCAGACCTTCACTTACTTCCTACCCCTGCCATGCCATGCCTCCTCCCATGCCTCATGTTGACCACTCATGGGGTATTCTGGGCAGCCAACTTTGTCACCAAGCTTGGTATCCAGGAGTCTATTGCAATCTCTGCTTTCCTGGTGACTCTTCCTGCTTTGTTGGCTGTTTGTTTGTTTGCCTTGTGAGGAGTCCTGGCTAACTAAAAGAATCTCGGGGCCTGTAAATCACCCTGTCTAAGCCCTCATTTTACAAATGAAGGGACTGAGGATGGGGTCAGAAAAGGCTACCAGTGAGGGGGAGAGCAGGTGGGCAGAAGGGATTTGGGAAATCTACTTAGGCCTACCCTGCAGGAGTCCCTTCAGGCAGTGTGGTCTCTTGGCTCTGATGCCTTATCTCCACAGAGATGCTGGGCTCTAGAGCATCAGCAGTGTAGGGCCAGCATGGGGTGAATGGATTTCCCTGCAGACTCTCATTCTTAGAGCCCAGCACCATACACTCTCCCATGGCAGGGACAGTTTGGTTCCTTACACAGACAGATTGGGTGGCATTCTTTGCAGTAGACTTGAGTTCCTACTACAAGGGGCCTCTGGCCCTAACCTGTCCAAAAATCTGCCTTTCAAACTCTAAGGTGTGGTTTCCTTACTAATGTGTCAGATCCAGTTCCCTGGGGTGAGGGTGGGCAGGCACAGAATAGAGGGGTGCTATAGGAGTTTGGAGTGTCCAGGTTGAGGAGAAGGCTTTGGAGCCTGGGCCCTTTCCTGGGGATAGGCCCTGCCCAGGGGGAGGGGATGAGTCTGGTGCCCAAAACTGACACTGCTCTGTCTCCTGTTCTGCCCACAGGTGAGAGACCCTTTGCCTGCAGCTGGCAGGACTGCAACAAGAAGTTTGCACGCTCTGATGAGCTGGCCCGGCACTTTCGCACGCACACAGGTGAGAAGAAGTTCAGCTGCCCCATATGTGAGAAGCGCTTCATGCGCAGCGACCACCTGACGAAGCATGCACGGCGCCATGCCAACTTCCACCCAGGCATGCTACAGAGACGTGGCGGAGGCTCGCGGACCGGCTCTGTCAGCGACTACAGCCGCTCTGATGCCAGCAGCCCCACTATTAGCCCAGCCAGTTCACCCTGAGGTCCCATGGCTGTGTGGATTGCCCAGTGACACCATTTGGCAGAGCCTGCTGCCCGGCTCCAAGTTTGGATCCTACAGTAGCTCAGTCCTGCCAGCTGGGCTTTCCATTTCTGAGCTGCCAGAGATCTCGGCTGCCCCAAGTCTGAGTGACCCTCCCCATGCTACAGCCATGAGTAGATGCTCGTACTTCCTTTTGTGATTCCTTGTTTTTTCCTTTTGTAATAAAAAAGAAGAGAGAGAGAACTTTATGAAAAGTCAACAACAACAAAAATTTTCTTCTCCTCAGGTGTCAAAGTAAGTTTGTAGAAAAACAAAAAATTCAAAAAAAACATCACACACAGATTGCACAATAGGACTACCCGTGAGGTTGAAATTCAGCGGTGTTGAACCCCCTTTCTCAGGGATGGACATGTTTCACAGGTCAGTGACGACAGACACCCTTCCTGCCGCCTTACTCTGTAAATAGATTTGCACTCCGGAGGTTTCTGTTGGGTTCAGGAACACACTGGGGACAGCAGACAGACCATGCCAGCTGGAGTTGGGTGTCTGTCCTGCAGGTTAGCTGCCCCATCATTCCAGAGCATCTATCTGTGCTTCCATGGCTGATTTCTGTGTGGCAGCCTGCAACCCCTCTTCTCATCCAGCCTCCAAACCCTGTCCCAGCCAGAGGCCCAGTCGAGATCAGGACGCAGATAGTTCTGAGGAAATGACACCTCAGAGGGATGCCTTAAGCCACAACAGGCAAAAGGGACACTCACCTGGGGGGCTGCAGAGGCATCTTCCTCTGCAAAATCCATCCCTTCTACCTCCAGGACCCCTGCCTTCCTGGAGCCCTCTCTTCGGCCTCTCAGAGAACTGGAAGCAGATACTGAAGTCCTGTAGGGTACCACCCACTGCTGAGGTGATGCAGCCCAGGCCACACCCACCCCACTGCATCTAGGACTCACAGGGCATGGGGGAGTGATTCCCACAGAAGACAAGGGCCTTCCGCTCCTACGATACTCTTCTGGAAAACACAACCTGGGAATCTGGTCTTCTAAAAACATGTATTACTGCTTCATCCAGTTCCACCTTTCAGGCTGGCCTCACTGCTGAGGCCTATCTGTCTGTGGCTGAGGCTGAGACCCCATGTGAAGCCCCACTTCACATGGGGCTATGTGTGGATGGCACACACACATGCTTGTTACTCTGCAGACACTGTTATGTGGCCAGAGACTGGAGCATTGTGACCTGGAACCTTTCTGTGGTGGTGAAGTGGATGCCAGGAAAATACTGTCTGAGAAAGGACATTGTTTTCCTCCCCAGGGAATACCAGATGGAAGGTTGTGGGAAGCGCTTTTCTTAGACCTACAAGGTCCCTAGGTCAGACTTAACCAACTTGGTGTCCCCTGGACTCTCCTTCCTCCCCATCTGCTTCTCCAGGCCTGAAACAAATTACAACTTGAGTGCCCCTCACAGGTTTTCACTGAGGTGGAGGAGAAAGCCAGTTGGGGACAGTTCTGCAGAGCCCTGACCTAGGCCACCTGTGACTGGAGGCCCTGGGCTTCAAGCTCTTCCCTCTGCAAAAAAGCTAGACACAAGCCTCTCAGTACTGCTTCCCAGAGGCACCTTCCCACCCATTCTCCTATGTGGGGGCCTATAAGTCCATGTCCCCAGGACAGTGTGAGTGTGTGTGTGTGTGTGTGTTCAGGGGTGGGTGTTGGGCAGATTTAGGGTACTTTGCAGAGACCTCTATTCATTTTGATGAGGAAGGAGAGCCCTTAGGCCATCAAATGGGCTTGCTAGGCCCAGAGTGCCTTGGCTGTAGCTGTCCTGCTTCCCCACTATTCCTCCCACAGCATATGATGATTGTAGTACAGAGAAAACCCCAAAAACCATAAGCACAGCCAAGGCCCACAGCTCCTGGCAGCTGTTTTGGGCTTGCTGCAGTGTGGATAGTACCCTGTGTGTAGTGAGGGTGCCTGTTTCTAACTCTGCATGTGTATGAACGAGGATTGGCTGTAACATGGTGGTGGCTCTGAGCGGACCATAGGTAGTGAGTCAGGCAGTAGCATTGTTCCTGCTGCTTTTGGGGGAGTGGGTAAGGGAGGGGTGAGATGCAGAGTGAGTGACAGCCCTGCATACACCCCACCAAGGAGAGAGAGTTGGGTGTGCTTGAGAGACCTTGGCAAAGGAGAGTGCTAGATGCCAGGGGTGCAGAGATCTTTGTACCCAGTTCCAAAGCAAGCCCCAGAAGGGCCCTCAGTTGCCCTTCCCAAGGTTGTTCCCCTGTGAGGCAGAGAACACCACTCTCTTAATACATTTCATGTCTCAGGAATTCACATTCCAGGTTCAGGAATTTTATTCCAAAGTCCTTTGGTGCGATCACTGTCCATGAGTCTCCAAAGGGAGGGGGAGGTGTCTAGGAAGCAGCAGGCCCTCTCCAGGAGGAGATTCTGAACCACCACCTCTATGTGTGTTGTTGTTGTTTTTATGTGCCATTGAGTCAGGCCCGACTCATAATGACCCCTCCTTGGGTTTCCGAGGCGGTATCACTATGGAAGTAGATTGCCCAACCTTCTTTCCAAGGAGTGGCTAGTGGGTTTGAACTACCAGCCATCTGGTTAGCAGTCAGATGCCTTAGGCACCACGCTACCTGTCTATGTATAGGGAGGGGCAAAGGACTTAAACCCAGTCATTTTGAAATTAAAAAAGAAAATAGCTAGTTTTTGATTTTGGGGTAGGTGGGGGGGGGGGGCTAGGGAAAGGGAGCATTTGCTGTTTCCAAAGAGAGCACTTAATTTCTCCTCTCAGTGACCCAAGGCTGGCTGTCGGATAGATAGGAGGGTAAGTTGCCTTAAAACAGAAAGATGCAGGCATGGGCTATTTTTGGCAAATGAATATCTTCATTCCCAAAAGTGGCTCTCCTTAAATGGAGGGTGCAGTCCCTTCTGCAGTGGCCTAACCCGGTAGATGGGCTGAGGATGGGTGGAGTAACCTCAGACTTTAGGCACCTGGAGGGAATTGGTGCTGGGAATACAGGGCCACTCAGCCTGGGGCTCTAGTCTGGCCCTTCCGAAATCATCTGGGACTTAAATTTCATCTCACTCAAAGGGTGGAAAAAGTCTGAGATTCCCGGGTTAAGTCCAAATGGACTCTCCCTAGCACGTCTCCATCTTGGATGTGTGTATCTGAAGGGGAGTCTCAGGTAGCCAAACTTAACTCAGGCCTCTGCTGGAAAGCAGTTATGCAAGGAGGCCCTCCTGACAGAGCTTGCAATTTCTTCTAAGATGTAGAATGTTTTTCCCAGCCCAGGTCTATTTCAGGGTCTTTCATTTTATGGGTTATGGCCATTCTTACTGGTTTTAGTGGGCTTGAGGAACCATAGGACCTCTAGGAATAAAAGTGAACCCTCACATCATTTTGGCACAGATTTCAGTTGTAGCAGGCCAGGGAGCTGAGGTCTCAAAGCAGAGGCTGCTTGAGCAAAGTGAGAGTTCCATTCCAAAAAAGGCCTCTAAAGTGGTCCTGGATGCAGCCATCAAGGGGCTGGTGTTCAGCTCATGGCCCAGACAAGAAAGCCTCTCTTTACATCAGCCATATCAGGGGAACAGTTTTGGCTCCCCAAATGCCTACAAAATCCTACAGCCATACAGGAAAACCAGAAAACAGGCATGTAGGCCTCTTCTGCTGAGTAGTCTGTGGAAACAGGGCAACATGGTCCTGGATGCCCTACCCACACCTCCATACCCCCTGCTTGTCATGGCATCTTAAGCTGCAGACCTTTCCCCCTATATCCCTGGCCATTCATCCAGGCAGGTGTATTCTCAGCGGACAGATGGAGTATTCCCTATGTACTGCTTTGTTCAGTCTCCAAGGACAACATCAACAGCACCAGGGCCCCAGGCCTTGGGTCATAGCACAGACTGGTAAAGGGCAATCAGGTCCAAGTAGAGGGGGCAGCAGGCCTCAGCAGCCACAGTCCACTCGCACAGAGAGAGTGGTGACTTCTCGTGGCCTGAGTGAACATGGCAGAACCACGGTCCTGTTCACAGCTTCTGCCATTCAGCCCACTGCACAGTCCAGCCTTCTTGCTTGCCAGCAGCAGGTGCTCATGAGGGACCTCATGTTCTCCATGAGCAGGAGGCCACCTATGGGAAAGCAGGGTCTAAGAGTACCTTTGGTTTTAGCTGTGTTTATAATGTTAACTAGTTCTGAATTCTGATGGGTGTCACTGATTTAAAAAAAATAATAAAATTTAGAAAGTCACTTGGTCAAAGAAACAGTACCAGCAGATTTGAAAGGTTTGATGTGTTGGTCATGTCACCACTAGTAGAAATTGGGAAATAAGTGTGCCTTGTGTTACCCAAAGACTCCATGTGGATCTGGGGCCATGTTTTCCAGAGCTGAGATCAAGAATGTGGGCTGGCCACTTTTGAATTCAGGATCACCCCTGGAGGAGCCAAGCCATAGGACCAGCTTTTCTGGTTCATTGGCTAGGTTTCACAGGCTTATCCTAGATACATTCTAGAGCATTTCTACTAGAATTTGGATGCACAGTGCAGTTTACTACTAATAAATGTCTATGCATCCTTTAGGCATCCCTCAGTTACTACCCTCATTCCATCCCTCCTTGGTTGAACAGTTGAATTTGGCAGGCAGTAAGAGTTTTCAGTCCAGGAGAGATATGGCTGCACTCTTGGTTTCTGCTGACATCAAGAGACTAGCTTTGCAGTGCAGCCACCTGATCCTGCCTCATCTCTCCTCTTCTCATTAAGCTTTAAAACTACTACTTTTATTTAAAAATAAACAGGGTGGGCAAAGTATTTGCCCTGCCCTGCATGTCACATTTCCTGTGGGGGATGGGACAACAGCTTGCTCCCAGTCTTAGGGGGTCCTTCTGTTGTCCCTTGAGTCTCTTCCGAGAGGCTGTGTCAGTAGGGCACCATGCACACCTTTCTGGAAACCAGCTATGCAGTTCCATACCTGCAGAGCAAACTCTACTGTGAGCACAGGGCTCA